AAAAACCTGTGGTTTTTGCCTTAACCACGGCCTAGCCAACCGATGCAAAAACCGACCGAAAAATCCAAGGTTCTCCAAAATAAAAACCAAGTGTTTAAAACACTTATTTGATGTATTTGGCTAAGAAATCAAGTGAGACACTTTAAAAATCACTTCATTTGATTAAAAACCACGGCTAGCCAAGTTTACGCCGTTTTGCGTGGTTTTTGTCAAACGACTAAAAACGAGAGATGGTTTTCAAAGTGTTTTTGTTGGAGAACCGTTTAAACATGCCAAAGAGTGAAAGCAGATCATAAAATGCTGAAAACCACTTGGTTGGTTCGGATGCCAAAAACCAAACCCGACAACCGAAAGCCGAACGCTGGTTTCTTAAAGCCGAACACTGGATGGCTTGGTTTTTGGTTTGGGCGAACACCAAGTGTTTTTAGTGACTTAAACAAGTTTGAAAAACATTTTTATGATGTAAGAAATGCAATGAGAGATTTTAGCCTAAAGAGCCAAGGTGTAAAGATTGGGTCGGTCTTGATCACAATAAAGACCGACTCAATACTATGATTAAGGTCTTCGTTCTTGGTCTTCGTTTAGCTCTTTCTCTTATCTTCGTTCTTCGCCTTGTATATTCAATGTTCGACTTGATCATGGCGGTTTGGCATTATCAAAACCTGTTACAAGAACGAACACGGCTTTAGTACGAAAACGTGACAAGCCCGTGTTTCAACAATTTCCCCCTTTTTGATAATGGCAAACGAGACGAGGTTATGCATAGGAGGATTATTTTGAAAAAAAACAATGTTCCCCCTTAATAGATGCCATTTTACAAAGTAAAAAAAATTCCCCCTTAATAGATGACATAACCTCAATATCTTCCCCCTTTTGACATTAACAAAAAGAATTAAAAGTAAACTTTAGAACTGTAAAAGTAAACTTTTATTCATGAAAAAAGGGAAATGCAGAATACAACGGAATGGAAATAAAAAAATACAATCATAGTAAGAGGAGAAAAGAAAAGTCTAAGCATCGGCGTCCTCGTCGTCATCCTCGTCGTCCTCGACGTCCATGGATCGCCGTCGACCGCATCTTCAAAGTCGGCCTCGTCGGGGGAGGAGGATGGAGCATATGAGTTATCCTCCTCGTCCTCGCCTTCATAGTTTTGGCCGAGGAAGGTGCTGTCAAAGGGCGGCGGGACGTAGTTGATGCCGCGAAAGAACGCCGTCATGTCTTGGTGTTGGCGTTGCAGCGTCCAGTCCATCCGCTTGATTGACTGCCCCATGCCATCCACTGTGAGGGTTAGCCGATTCAGAGTATCGGCTATGGATTGCAAAGAGGCCTTGGCGGGAGCGGGGGCTGGTGCACGACTTGGGCCTGCGCCGTCCCGGTCTCCGGACTTCTTCCGGAAGGTGCTGTCTTGAATTATCCAAATCTTTGTCATCTTCGTATCCGGGCCGGCGATGGAGATGTCGGCGGAGATGATGAGGTCCATGACGAGGAAGGCGTATGGCAAGCTCCGCCATGTGGATCATCACGAATTTCGCCCAATTGATGGAGGCGCCGTGGATGATGGCATGAATCGCCTTCAAGTCCTCGTTGAAGAGCGAGGTATGGCCGCTGTCCCGGGGGCGGAGAATCCGGGTGATGATGTAGAGGAGGAGGCGCATGTCCGGTGGGGCCGAGTGAATCGTCGGTGCGCCGCTGTGGCGGATGAGGTTGGTGATCCCAAGCTCTCGGATGACCACCGCCTCGTTTTTGAGGATCCAATCATCGCCGCCATACGTTGCGATGTCGTCACCGCGGATGGGCAGCCCTGCGACCCGAGCAAAGGTAGGCAAATCAATCTCTATGTCGTAGAGATTGATGCTGCTGCGAATGGTGTCCCCGTCACGGCGGAGATTGGAGTAGAAAGCCCGGACGAAGGCGGGATTGAAGCTCGAGCGGCTCTTGGAGACGAATGGCCACAAACCCGACGCTTGGAGTTGGTTGTCGAGGTCGTGGTACCCTTTGTCTTGGGGAAACAACTCCGGGAGCACGCGAGGTGGAGAGATCGGGCGCTTGGCAAAGTGAGTGAGGAAGCGTGTTAGTTCTTCCTCCGACCCGAACTCAAGAAATGATCCGTCCAAATATGGGAACGGAGGAGGCGCAGAACTTGAGGGTTCGGCGGTGCTTTTCTTCTTGGAAGCCTTAGACTTTGATCTTCCTCCGGCCATGATTGAGGCGTTTTTGAAGAAAGATTGAAGAAATAAGTGGTATAGGCTAAAGAAATGAAATAATGATGTTAATTGTGTGTTAAGAAGGTAAGGGATGATGTGAATATATAGGGAGAGGAGGAAAAAGACGTGTGAATTCAAAAAATATGGCTGTTGGGCATTAAATTCGGTGCCCAACGGCCATAATTTTTGAATTTCAACAGCCTTCCCAGCGATGGTAGGAACTACCCATCGATGGGAGGGTCGCTACTGGAAGGCGAATAAGAAAACCAGATTGCCTTCCCAGCGATGTGTGGACTCTCCCATCGATGGGAAGGTGTGTTCTGGAAAGTGAAGGATAAAGGACGAAAGCCTTCCCAGCGATGTTAATACCATCCCATCGCTGGGTTGGTGATTTTGGGAATCCGATAAAAAAAATTTTAAAAAATAGTGTCAAACACCCAGCGATGGGATGAAATACCCATCGATGGGTAAGGTGTTTCTGGAAATCCGTTAAAAGTTTTTAAAAAAAGAGAGTCAATTACCCATCGATGGGGAGAAGCACCCATCGATGGGAAGAGGGGTCCTGGAAAAGTGAAGACTTCCCTCCCAGCGATGGTATAACGCACCCATCGCTGGTTCCCCCTGATTTCCAGAATTCTTCACTTCAAACCGTTCATGCAAAAAATAGTTAGAAAACCCTCCGACGCTCAAGTTAATAAACGGTCAAGCAAAGAAAAAAAAGTGATAAAATGCACAAATTAGATCATCGTGGAGTCAAGGATTCCGAGTTCACTACGAATGCGGAAGAACGATTCTTTCTCTAAAGGTTTTGTGAAAATGTCGGCTAATTGGTTGTGTGTTTCAACAAACTCAATTTCGACATCACCTTTGAGAACATGATCTCTAACGAAATGGTGCCTAATGTCAATGTGTTTCGTTCTTGAATGAAGAACGGGGTTCTTCGTCAAGCTTATGGCGCTAGTATTATCACAACGGAGTGGAACGTGACTGGTACTAAGGCCATAATCCACGAGTTGTTGCTTCATCCAAAGGATTTGAGCACAGCAACTGCCGGCGGCAACGTATTCCGCTTCGGTTGTGGATAACGCAACACTGACTTGTTTCTTACTAAACCATGAAACTAAAGAGCTACCAAGTAAGTGGAAAGTCCCACTTGTACTTTTACGGTCCAATTTGCAACCGGCAAAGTCCGAATCGGAGTACCTAGCGAGATGACACGAAGAGCCTTTTGGATACCACAGTCCAACGTTAACCGTGCCAACAAGGTATTTCATGATCCGTTTCACGGCTGTTAAGTGCGATTCCTTCGGACATGATTGATACCTTGCACAAAGGCATACGCTAAACATGATATCCGGCCTACTAGCGGTAAGATAGAGAAGGGATCCGATCATACCTCGATACTTTTTGACTTCTACTTCCTTACCTTTCTCGTCTTTGTCTAGATGGTCGGACGTGCTCATCGGGGTCGCCATGGCTTTGGTGTTGTCCATTTCAAACCGTTT